GGGTCTGAAGGTTCGTGTTGAGGACATGGTTCTCGAGATTGCGAGAGACTCTCGTATTTTGATGAAGGGCGTCAGGAGAAATAACCTGTATTACTTGACTGGAGGTATAGTGATAGGTGGAGAGCTGACGACTTCTGTTGATTCGACTAGACTGCGGCATTTGGGGCTTGACCATTCCAGTATTGATTCCTCGCATAGATTGAAAGAGGGTGCAAAGACCTGCAGTTTGAAGTCCAGTGAACATGTTGATGTGAGCAAGAAGACCGAGGTGAAGTGTGGCGCCTCTATTCACCGTGCTAAGGGTCGTTCTGGAGGAGTTCACGTGGATGTTTAGGGGCCTTCCAAGGGGGCATCATTGGGAGATAATAGGTGTTTGGTTTCCTTTGTTGGTGGCTGTTCTAGGCGTGTTTGGGTTGCAACCAAATCCCCATTGGAGAAAGTCCTAGTAGTCTCTAACAGTTTGAAGAAGTGTGTGATAGACAGAAAGGTGAAGGTACTCCATTCTGGTGGGAGGTACAAGATGGACCTGTTTCTGTATTGGAACCGAGATCACGGCATTTCGAGACACTTCGTTGGAAAGGAAATCTTGGGGCAACTAGATAGGGTGACAAATTTGGAAGACCGTGCCTTGCTGGAGGAGGATCGATGTTTGGTGTCAAGCAATGGTCTGCAGAAGAGTTTCTGGACAGAGGCTTCGACATATTTGGGTCATCCTATTAAAGAGTTGTCAACTGCTGTGATTGGAGGTAAAACTTCATTGGAAGATAGGTCTGATAGTGTCACTTTGTTTGAGGCTTCGATGAGGAAGCTAATTGACTCTCAGCAGGTGGAGAGTTTTGGACAGACCTTAGAGGTATTCGATGAGGAAGCTAATTGACTCTCAGCAGGTGGAGAGTTTTGGACAGACCTTAGAGGTATCGCAGCGGTTGGAGATTAATGCTACTCCACATTGGGTGGGGATTTTCCCACATACTCCAGGTCATTCTGCATTGGTTGGGATTCCAGCTGAGGTGACACAGCGTGTTGGAGGTGCTATCAGCCACAGAGTTGATGATATTGGAGAAGGGTTGCGAACTCTTCTATTGGATTGAGGCCTTTGGAGGCCATTTGAGTGAACTACGTTCGGCTTGATTCCTTGGGCAAGAGGATACATAGGCAGTCTTTATGATGCAGCCGGGTTGGATTTTGATGGGGTGAGATCGATTTGGTGAGTTGATACCGACATTTGGAGAGTGTTCGCATTCTCATTTGGGTTCTCGACTTGTTATGGATTGAGTCCGTTGTCGTGAATTGTTTTACTTCGTACTGGACACAACAAGTGAGACATTTGGTTTGATCGGTGTCGGCTCAGTTTTGGGAAAACTTCGCCGAGGTGGAGAATTGTGAATGAAAGGGACGTGAGGTGAGGTGGGCCACACCACCATGTGAACACGTGAAGGAGCACCACGAGTTTAGCATCAGAAATCTTATTCACGTGTGGGGGCCACTCATCAAAGAACGCGTTTTGCTTCTTTTTGGTTTTCGTTTCCACGTGAGCCTACCCGATAGTATAGCCTATAAATGTTTTTTTGCTCTAGGGTTTCGGTGGTGCAAGTGAGGTGAGGTTTCTTTTGGTAGCTGTAGCAGACGCAAACGTAGAGAGATTTTTTTCGGTTGGGCGGCGTGCAAAGAAGATTTGTGCAGTCAGAAGGAAAAATCGACGGCGTGTGCTAAGGTGGAAGAAAAGTTACTGTTCTCGTGGCTATTTCTTTTGAGAGAAAAATAGAGAGATATTTGTGTGAGAGAGAGATTGTTTGTGGGTTTAGATTGAGTGATTGTAAACCCTAGTTGTATTCTCTCCCTCTAATAGTAGATCTCCCCCCTCCTTGCCCCGTGGACATAGGCAGTTTGCCGAACCACGTAAAATTGATTTGTTTGAGTTTGTGGTCATTGTAATAGTTTTTAGGATCCCTCGACAGGTCAGTCCTAGAACTGATGAGAGGAAGAGCCGATATCTCACTTGGTTGAGATATCCGCTTCAGATTCTTGTCTCCTTGGTGAGACGGGAATTCTTATCGATCTTTCTCTCTTATTGTGCACCAGAAACTCTGCCGAAATTTTCGCTGCGCACAACAGAGAATAGTGTGCTCACTGTGACCGTGCCCAAGGAGGAAGTCAAGAAGCCCGAGGTGAAGGCCATTGAAATCTCTAGTTAGAAGAATAGATCAGATCGGTTGGTTGTGTTAATTCCGAGCTTTCGTTGTGGTGTTGCGAGTCTTCCTCTTGAGCTTTCTGCATGCGAGTGTCTCTAGTGTTTGTGTGTGTGGATTGATGAGGTTTATTATGTCATGTATGTCTGTGTTTGAAAGTTTGAAGTAAGGTATCTAAAATCTTACGCCTGAATGTGAAATTGTTTAACTATATTTTATTGGATTATAAATTAGTGGCTTGTTGTGCAGTAGTGCTGATTATTTCAGCCAATTTTAAAATTGGTACCTAAAATGTAGTCTAGAATCCAGGTCGCTGTATTTTTGTTTTCCAAGGATTACGAAACTTATTGTCGAAGTTCAAAATTGATTCTCTTAACATTTATCTATATATAACATTTATCTATGTAAAATGCCTTAAGGACCTAAAATGTGGGACCGTTTGAGGGGACAGATGATGACCAGCTCATTATGCAATAGAAGAGGATATTTCATATATTTCCTCCAATGGTCTTATATTTTGGGTCCATATAGCAGCGTTTTTTATTTATTTCACATAATATATTACATGAAGTTAAGAAACTTATTATTCATATCCTATTATATTGCACCATGGCATTAAAAGTTTAAACTATGAATTTAACAACTTTAATTAAACATTTAAAGGAGGAACCTGTGAAGTTACTCAATAGTCATAGACCTTAACTTTATCTAACTTGAAAAATGAACCAAGAATAATGATGGAAAGGTGAATTGATATTTATTGAGAATGAATAATTCGTTACAACAGTTAGAAGACATAATGAACACTTGTGCGCAAAGATAGCTGATTTTAAGGAACATCTAGAGGTGGATTAGAAATGAGTTGCAAATCGCGATTTTATTGCTCTTGAAAAGAAACTATGGGCAACTAAGAGATCCAAATTAACATGCAAAAACTAAGGATCACGATTTAAATATTCTTAAAAGAAACTGCGGGCAACCTAGAGCGTCCCAAATTAACATGTAAAAGCTAGAGCTTAGTAATATGAAAATAAAGATGTACGTGTGTAAGCTAGGCAAGCTAACATCAGCTGAAGTTCATGTTGGAGTAGTAAAAATATACCCTTGAAGAGCCAACATAAATTATGTAATATTTTTAAAATATTGATAGATTTAATTGTTACACATATAATTTGGATATTATTTTTATAATTCTTATAGTATCTTTAGAAATTATTTTTGTGAGATCATACACCGTGATGGTCACTTGTTTAGAGATATAATCTATCTTAAAGATTTTTAAAATTAAATGATAACTTAGTTATAGCATGTTATTATGCGTGAGAGGTGGTGGGTCTCAATCATCGAGAATAGTGATTCTTCGGGTGCATGTCATAAGCACATATTGTGATACGTGTAGCACTAGAACATATTTAGATTTTCTAGGACGAGTCACCTAAGAGATAGAGAATTCGAATTGTTACATTTTTCTTTTGACCTGATGACAATATCATTTCTAATTTGACAATTAGTATATTTTAATGTGATGGTTAATCTTATTTAGCAAACGCTACACAACCTGAAATGTTATGTTATTAATTTTTATTTAGGTAAATGATAAATATCTAAATAAAATTCAATATGCTCATTATGATGAGTTAATTTATTGTAAATATCCCATAAAATTATTTAATTTCCATCAATTGATTTTTTGGGAAAATATTTTTTAAAATTTATTTTCCTATAAAAATAAAATATTTTGATGTTTGGAAGTATTTTTTTATTCATCTGCATCTTCATTGCAATTTAGGCATGAGAAATTAGGTAAACGGGTCTACTCGATAAAGTTGTCTAAAATAAATGATATTTGAGAGGACTGAATATAAGACAACATTATTCATGAATATTTAATCACATATTATGAAAATGTTTTTATGAATATTTGGCCGAATAGGGATTTGATTGTCAAATTAATATTATTAATTTGATTAATAATTATTTCTCGATATCCAATTGGTCTCATTTATATCATTAGAAGAGGTATAAATGTAATACAGTTCTATTCTATCCTTAACCGTTATGGATTGAGTTTTTGAATATAATTCTAAATCATTATAACTTGTTAGCTAGAAGGCTAGTCTATTCCTATAAATAGGACTCATATGTGGCCTTATGTAGACACAGAAAATCTTCTGAAGATAAGATAAAAAATATGAAAGATAAAAATAGAAAATTAAGAATCTATCTCTCAGTATTGCTCCTCTTTAGCGATGGATGGAATGGAATTTAGTTGGAGAGGAAGTTCTTTCGGTTGATCTTGGAATAGATTATTATACATAATCAAAAAATGTTTTAGCTATTCTTATAAACTATGAAATGGATTGAAGTGTAAAGAAGCTTAAACTTGAGTTAGATTTAGACCAAAGGGTCATCAGAACAATACGAGTTCACACGGATAAAAGATATGGAGACCGGCTTCAGCACCAGGCTATCATGTTGACAACAATCATTGATCCATTGACTTGGTTTTACGAAAACAGTTCTGCTAAAACAAACAAGGTCTGGTGTAAATTAAATTACTCCTCATCCGTCCCCCATCCAAATAGCCTTCTAATTAAGTTGGCCCAGTCAGTTAGCCTGCTAACTAAGTTAGCCCATCTGCTAATAATTGGCGTCCTAATTACTTTTGGATGCTCGAGTTCTCTCGTCGCTTCCAGATGCGACCATCTGGAACAGTCCCGGTGGAAGCGGATGGACATTTCAAGATCCTTCCATCTCAACATCTATATAAGGTTGCCCCTCCCTCTTTCTCATGGTCACACTGTGAGCAAGCGGTGCTCTAATTACCGAAGTCCGAAGAAGTTGAAGAATTTTTCATCTTGAGATCATTCTGTAGAGAGATGGCTTTGATCCCTCGAATCTTTGGTCAGAGGAGCAATGTCTTCGACCCCTTCTCCCTCGACGTGTGGGATCCCTTTCAGGGCTGGCCTTTCGACACCTCTCGCACCAGCGGTGCTCTCAGCGACACCTCTGCCTTCGCCAACACCCGCATCGACTGGAAGGAGACGCCCGAGGCGCACGTCTTCAAGGCCGATCTTCCGGGGTTGAAGAAGGAAGAGGTGAAGGTGGAAGTCGAGGAGGGAAGAGTGCTTCAGATCAGCGGAGAGCGCAGGAAGGAGCAGGAGGAGAAGAATGACAAGTGGCATAGGGTTGAGAGGAGCAGCGGAAAGTTCTTGAGGAGGTTCAGGCTGCCGGAGAATGCCAAGGTGGATCAGGTGAAGGCGACGATGGAGAGCGGTGTGCTCACGGTGACTGTGCCCAAGGAGGAAGTTAAGAAGCCTGAGGTGAAGGCTATTGAAATCTCCGTCTAAAGGAATGTTGGAATCCGTGCTTTTTAGTTGTATTTCCGAGCGTCAGCAAAGTGTTTTGGTCTAGGCTGGTTATTTTGAGTCTGGTCCGAGGTTTGCGTGAGAGTCCGTTGTTATTGTGCGTGTTCTTGTGTGTGTGGTCGGTTTATGAGGTCTATTGTGCCCTGTATGCGTATGTTTGAAGTTTGAAGTAGTAAAGTTCCTCAGTTTTTGGCTAATTGTTTGAATGTAAAATTTTTGCCTTTTTCAGACGAAAGGTTTTTTTAATTTCGTATTAGAATTTTGAATTTAGGCCAGACTCGTTACAATTGTGAGGAGTTAAAAAAGATGTTTGTTCGGAAACATGGTTATATATACACATGCTGTGAGCTTTCCTTCTCTTGACATTCCTTTAACGCACGCACTTGGATCTCCAGTCAGTAACCTGAAAGAAGAAATGGCCTCTAGCCTTTGAAAGAAATAAAATAAGGGAGTCCTTAACTCTAGCAGACCCATTATATTACATTAGACAAGACTTATACATTAGACACAACTTGGAAAGAATCTATCCATTGCCAATAGCTGCCTAGGGCAGTAGCGAGGGTGGTAAGAAATATGTAATAGAGGGGACCACCATCTAGGAAGTCGTCGTGTTGGGGGCTGATACGCCAACCTCGCCGCGGAAGCGAATCACCTGAGAGAAAACCCTTACTTTTGTTTTCACAAAACACAAGCAAATCTCAATATTCCAGTTTTAATAATGAAAACAAGAACAGAAGTGAAATATCTCAGCAATGTGAGATATACACTCTTCCCAATATCAGATCTAGGTCTGAATATCGAGATAACCAACCAACACAATCAATAGCCAATACAATAAGTAAGACACAAGATTTACGTGGTTCGGCAAACTTTCTTACGTTCACGGGGAGGGGTGAATGGAGATTCTACTATGATGGAGAACACCAATGACTTGTACAACCCACAAACTCGTTCCAAAGAGATGATGCTTCGATTTTACCCAAGAAAGATGATTTCTTTCTTGTACAATCCCTCCAAGTTCTCTTTCTTTTTCTCTCCTCAAGATCTCACCTTTCAGATCTAAAAAACACTCAATTTCTTTGAAAAAACAGCCGCACAAAACCCTAAGAATGAAGTTCCTATTTATACCAAGAAAACAAGGCTAAAACAAAACCCGGCGCGGCTCAAGTACCCACCGCGTGAGACACCAAAAGGTGTCTCGCGCGCGTCGCGCTGGCGAGACACCATTTGGTGTCTTGCGGGTGAGACACCAATTGTGTCTCATGTGCGTCGCGCTGGCGAGACACCAAAAGGTGTCTCGTGGTCGCTGTTCACACGCTGGGTCTACACTTCAGCTTGTGGACACAGCGCAAGAGAATTAGAATTCATGACCCTTATTTTGCATGGTTAATATATCTTGATCGTGGAGTCTTTTGCAAACCATCAATCAAAAAAAATTAAGCACAACTACGGGAAGAGAGATTATCCCAGGCAAGTTTCAACTCTAACTACATGGCATTTCACACAAGATCGAGATGATCGTTGAACAGGACGAGTGCCCCCATTTAGAAACCGGCTACTCCTTATGTTCAAAGCAGCTTCAATGGAACCTCAATTTTGAATATTGCTTTTATCCCTTCTTTTCAAAATCCATTTCGTAGCCAAGAATCTTGATGCGTCAAAATCTATTTCAAAATATACTTCCCGAAAACTATAAGAATTTTAGCACACACTGTAGATAAAACTTGGTCAAAAGCATGTCTTTCTTGGAATTAGTAGTCCCTATGATTTAAACTGCAGCTGATTGACCTCAAAAAATAGCAGAGAAGACTCCCAAACCGCCTTGTTTCTTTAAATCTCCTTCTCGAGGTATCAACCTGCATGAGAACTTCGTTCAGCAAAGCATAGTTGTTACATAATATGGATGTACCCCCTTCAAAACACACTTCACAAGTAAAGATTTCTAACTTGCCATCCTAAAATTGTTTTTGTAATTTTCATCACCACAACAGCACAATTTCACATAAGGGGTTGTTTGGTTCGTTTTCTAGATATAGGGAAATGCAATTCCATGTAAACAAACTCAAGTTTTGAGTTTTCCAAACTTTTCCAAGAAATTGATTGTTTTGGTTTGGTTCGCATGTAAAATATGGTGGGAAACCAATATATTTACTTTTCTTGTGTTTGGTTTGTATAAAATAAAAGGGAAAATTTTTGTTGATTTGACATTTCCTACTTTTCTTGTGTTTAGTTGGTGTTGAAGTGGATAGGGAAAAGTGTTTATAGTTATCATGGTAAGATTACCCCCATTGTAGACAAGCACGAGAAGTTAAAAATAACACTAGCTGGAAGTTAGAACTAACACGACATCAACTAGAACTAACACGAGAGCCACTAGAACTAACAGGGCTCAACTAGAACTAACACTTATATTAGAAATAACACTAGCTAGAAGTAACAACTAACACGACATCAGCTAGAACTAACACGAGAGCCACTAGAACTAACATGGGCTCAACTAGAACTAACATACCACTAGAAGTAACGCTTATATTAGAAATAACACTAGCTGCAAGTTAGAACTAACATGACATCAGCTAGAACTAACACGAGAGCCACTAGAGCTAACAGGAGCTTAACTAGAACTAACATACCACTAGAACTAACGCTTATATTAAAAATAACACTAGGTGGAAGTTAGAAATAACACGACATCAGGTAGAACTAACACGAGAGCTACTAGAACTAATAGGGGCTCAACTAGAACTAACATACCACTAGAACTAACACTTATATTAGAAATAACACTAGCTGCAAGTTAGAACTAACACGACATCAGCTAGAACTAACACAAGAGCCACTATAACTAACATGGGCTCAACTAGAACTAACAAACCACTAGAACTAATGCTTATATTAGAAATAACACTAGCTAGAAGTTATAACTAACATGACATCAGCTAGAACTAACACGAGAGCCACTAGAACTAACATGGGCTCAACTAGAACTAAAATACTACTAGAAGAGAATAATTATATTAGAAATAACACAAGCTGAAAGTAAGAACTAACACGACATCAGCTATAACTAACACGGGAGCCACTAGAACTAACAGGAGCTCAACTAGAACTAACATACCACTAGAACTAACGCTTATATTAGAAATAACACTACCTACAAGTTAGAACTAACATGACATCAGCTAGAACTAACACGAGAGCCACTAGAACTAACAGGGGATCAAGTAGAACTAACAGACTACTAGAACCAACGCTTATATTAGAAATAACACTAGCTAGAAGTTAAACTGATATGACATCAGTTAGAACTAACATGAGAGCCACTAGAACTAACAGGGGCTCAAGTAGAACTAACATACAACTAGAAGAGAACAATTATATTAGAAATAACACTAGCTGGAAGTTAGAACTAACATGACATCAGCTAGAACTAACACGAGAGCCACTAGAACTAACAGGGGATCAACTAGAACTAACATATCACTAGAAAAAAATAATTATATTAGAAATAACACTAGCTAGAAGTTAGAACTAACATGACATCAGGTAGAACTAACACAAAAGCCACTAAAACTAATATGGGCTCAACTAGAACTAACATACCACTAGTTGAGAACAAACTTGAGCATATATGAACAAGCAGCACCTCTTACAAAAACTGGTCATATGTGCACAAAACCTGGCTGAGAACAAACCTAAACAAAACAGCACCAACAACACCAACCAACAACACAAAACATCACCTTAACAATGTGTGCACACAAAACCTGTTTTCCAAGAGACATGAGAGCTTGTATCTTTTCTTTTCTTTTTGTAAATACTGGTGTAGAAGATGTAACTTTTTTGAAGATGGAATGAAAATTTGGACTTCGCCATACCATCTTGTGTGTTTTTCACTTGCTCCTTGTTTAGCTTTGTTTGTTTATAGCTTCATTATGATAGAGAAGATAGTTAAATTAGTTGCAGTGAGTCGGTTGGGTAGGGGCGACTCAAGTGTTGGTGGGGCGAGTTGAGCAGATCGTCCTTTGTTGTCAGCGAGATGCCTTGGTCTTAGTGCAGACACCAAGGTCTTTTTGTCGAGGACGACCAAAAGGTTGGAGTGTCTAGGACTTAACGAGGGCCCCTAGGTCTTTTCAGCAAGTAACAACTCGGAGGTTGAGTGGCTAGGTCTTAATAAGGACGCTTAGGTCTTTCAGCAAATGACAAACTAGAGATTGGGTGCCTTGGTCTTAATGAGGACGCCTTGGTCTTTTCAACAAATGACAACCCGGAGGTCGGGTGCCTAGGTCTTATTGAGGATGCCTAGGTCTTTTCGACAAATGACAACCCAAAGGTCGGGTGCCTAGGTCTTAATGAGGATGCCTAGGTCTTCTCGGCAAATAACAATCCGGAGGTTAGGTGCCTAGATCTTAATAAGGACACCTAGGTCTTTTCACCTGGCTATGGTGGTTAAGATGTAAATGTGGGAGCCGATCGTATAGCAAATGTGCCTTGGGTTTATCCTAAGAAGGTATCAAGGGCTTAGGAGTCGTGCATAGATTTGATACTACGAGAGTGTGAGAAAAGAGTCAGATTCAAAGGGATTTTTTTTATAATGAATGAAATTTTATACAAGATAACTAAAAAATATTTTTCGAAATGCTCAACATTCCATGGGTGCTGCAGGGTTCTTCCATCCAGGGCTCTTAGCCGATAAGTGCATGGTCACAACTCCTCAAGGACTGTATAGGGCCCCTCCCACTTAGGAGCCAGCTTGCCTCGTTCGGTATCTTTGTTGAAAGTAGCTTTTTGAAGGACGAGGTAGCCAACACCAAATCTCCTGGGTCGGACCTTGATGTTGTAGTACTGGGCGATCTGTTGCTAATTGATGACCTGGGACCGTAGCACTTTTTCTCAGACTTCGTCTAGGAGATCGAGCCCGACTCAAAGCCCTTTTGAATTTGGATCTGTGCTGAAGAGTTGAACTTGGATTGTTGGTATAC